ACACACACACACACACACACACACACACACACACACACACACGCCTCAATTTGAATTGTCATTGATTCTATGAAGGGCAAAGCCGATGGGTCTAACTTAGAGCTTCGGAACAAATCCATCTCTGTGCATAATTTCCGTTGGCCATCATTCAATTCCTATAGCCAACAAGGGAGCCCGCTGTATCCTGGGTGGGGCTGGGAATCAGAACAGCCTCTAGGCAAAAGGACTGTTTTTAGCCTTTGCCTCTTCCATTCAGTAGGGTAGTCTCGCAAAAGAGACCGTTTTCTTCCTCTGCCCATCAGAACCTTCCAGTTCTCTGAACCCAGAAACCACCAAGGCATGTCCTCATCTTAAGGTTTTGTGGCTCAAGTTTCCATCAAATTGCCACTGCTGTTACCAAGATGACAGGTGCTTCAGGTGTCCTCTGATTGGTAGGTGGTGAATCTGGGGGGGCCTATCAAGGAGCAGCTCGTGCCCACCTGGAACTTGTCATTTTGGTGTAGAGCAATGAAGAGAGAAAGACAGAGACAGAGACAGACAGATAGACAGAGAGAGAGAGAGAGACAGAGACAGAGACAGAGAGAGAGACAGACACAGAGAGAGAGAGAAAGAGAGACAGACAGACAGACAGACAGGAGTAGATGCCTCAGGAAATAGCGATGGCAGCTATGGCAGCAGTGACAGTTATATGCAGGTGCCCACGCTTTCCCAAACTGCTGTTGATGACACCTTTAACAGTCTGCAGAAGCAGGGTGTGACCCCAGTTCTAGAAAAACACTTCCACAGTTGGTTCTTCCTACCATACGACAAACATCTGCCCTCCGCCAGAAGCTATAGATAGATCTGGACCCACAGTGGCTCACATGTGTAACCCTAGTACTTGGGAGGCTGAGGCAGGAGGACTGCCTTGACTGAGTTTGAGGCCAGCCTGGGTTACAGAGCAAATCATTTTTTGTTGATTTGTTTCAGAACAAATCTGAAATTTTGTTTCAGAAAATACATATCAGAAAAAAGTGCTAAGTACATTGGAACCATAAATGTAAAAGATGGAAAACAATGTGTGTGTGTGTGTGTGTGTGTGTGTGTGTGTGTGTGTGTGTGTTGAAAAAGAGATTAAAAATCAAACAGAATAAAAGAAGCCATGGACCTCAAATTTCTAGAGCTCGCTGTTTTCTTGTCCTGCAAGGATGGGGAAAACCATGAACCCATGGCGACTTCCATCTAGAATCTCAGGGCTACCTGGGATCAAAGCTGTCCCCACACTCATTTTAACCTTAAACATAATTGAGTTAGTTACCATCAACCAACAACTGGAGATTTCCCATGAAGATCCAAACTTCTTCCTCCTTCTCTGGACAATAAAAGCTGCCTGCCATGTGGAGCCAGGATGCCAGAGCAAAAGAGCTGGGTAGGGGCTTCTCTGGTTTGCCGTGGTCCTCGCCACCCTGTCCTGTCGCTCATCCTACAGAAAACTGCTACCCGCCACTTGCTGAAGTTTCTCTTAACTACCCGATGCCCTCATGCTGCCTAGACATTGGGGTTCCTACAGATATCCGGTGTGTGTGACTTGTGTACTCTCAAATATTGATATTTTCAATGTTTGATTAAGAGTGGTGGAAACCTTGAGTAGAATGTTCAAAGGAGGGCTAACACTCCACTTGGTTCCTCCTTCCATCTCTGGTCTGCTGGGTGAGCTGAGGGGCAGAAGAGGGTAACCTATGGGTATCTGCACTGGCCCCTGCACAGACCAAGTCCCCGCCTGGTCTGTGGCCTTTTCTATCAAGTTGCTCCTTGGGGCTTCCTCTTAGGTCTGGTCTGCTACCCTGACTCCTACTTCCTGAACTGACTCCACACCCTCCCAACACTGATTTTTGGCACCCTGGAATCAATATTATTCTTGATGATTTCTATTTGGTATCTTGGAATATACCTTATTCTTCTGTGTAGGCCACATACCATTTCTGAATAGTTTGGTCCCACCAAAATCACAAGAATGTGGTTTTCTTTTCTTTTCTGTCACACATAGGATGCCAGGATGGCTGAGTGCAGAACCTCCAAATCCCATGTTTTAACTATTCCGCCAAGAAAGAAAATGCATATTGAGTGGTAGCTTCCCTTTGAAATCCTGATGCTATGGACATTTACCCAGGTTGAAAGCTCTGCTGAGTGAGCTCCAAGTTCAGAGCTGTTACCCCATAGCTCAACACGTACGCACACGCACACACACTTCTGTGCACGCACACATGCACTTATCTGCACACATACACATAACAGCCTTTAAAATAATTGCTTTGGAAAAGCACACATGTCCCTATCAGCCAGCCGTGCATGAATTCCCCACAATTCCTAGTGGTGTTTTGGATGAAGAGTGACATTCTGACGGGGAAAGGGTTAGAGAGCAGGTAGAGGAAAGCCCAGGAGAGCCCCAGAGCAGCTGAGCCACAGGACAGAGGGCTCACCCCACAGCCTCACCCCCCAGTGACACACACCCAAGCCCGCTTGTGGAGGAGGGAGGCGGGTTCTGTTCTCACCGTGGTGGTCCTGCTTCCCAGAAGCAACAGCAGCCCGGGCAATAAAGTGTGCAGAGTCTGCGGCCTCCTCTGGGGAGGGATTTTTACTCAGGACGATGAGATGTGCCTGTCACCACAGAGAAGAGAAACAAGTTGTTTACATGCTTGGCATCAGCGATGGGAAACGTCTTTGCAGTGATAAGCAGGAAGCCGAGGAACGGTCCAGCAAACTGGAAGGGATGCTTGATGAAGTGCAACTGACTCGGGGAATCTGAAAAGCACTGGGTGGAGGCCAGAACCCAAATGGATTCAGGATCCATTTGGCTGGAAACTGTCACTGGAGCCAATCCCTAAAATAGATCCTTTAAAAGCTTATGGTCATTTGACTCAGCAAAGACAACAAAGATGGAGGGCGGGTGGTGGTGGTGACTGGTGATGACTTTAGTGGTTAAGAGCCCTGACTGCTCTTACAGAGGACCTGAGTTCAATTCCCAGCACCCACATGGCAGCTCACAACTGCCTCTAACTCCAAAATCTGACACCCTCACACAGACATATATGCAGGCAAAAACACCAATGCAAATGAAATAAAAGTAACGAAATTATTTTTAAAAAATGAAGATTGAACCACACAGAGTGACCACAGAGGAAAAGAATAGACTGGGCAGGCAGAACGTGACAACAACCACTAAGATTTAAGCTGGACTTCAGTTATTTCTCACTTGCAACACAACACTTAATTTTGGGGATACTTTCTATGATTTTCAATTTATATATGAAAACTTGAGAGTGCTGAATGGGTCTGGAATATTCCCCAGAGGTACATGTGTTTAAGGCTCGGTCCCAGCTAGGTGCTACTGAGAGGCGCTGGGACTGTTAAAGAGCCTGGTGGGAGATGTTAGGTCATCAGAAGCGTATTAATAATGGAACACTGACGGGGTCAATGGTCCAGACAGCTCACGCTAAAGGATGGAGATAAGCTCTGACACTGATACTCAAACTTCAAATTCTGCATGTTGGACCCTGTTCTGAATGCTGCTATTCATCCATCAGCCAGGGCATGAAAGAAGGCGAACAGATGCCAGCACCTGGTCAGGCGCGATGACTTAAGAAGTCAAGTCATCCCAGGAGGGCCTTCCGGTCGGCACCAAGCAGGCCTCACACCTCTGGATATCTCTGAGACTACAATCAAGGCAGAGGTAGTACTGAAGCACTGGACTGCCTCATTGCTAACAACCCTGAGCTGCCAAAGTGCAGACTTGATCACCCCAGCCACCCCTGTTAGCAACAGCTTTTGCTGCGGAGTTGGAACACCCAGAGTTCTTAAGTAGGAAGGCTTGGATTTACGACAACTTTTCTCACTACTGGAATTCTTCAGAATGAACTGAACAAGGGACCCGGGAAGCTCAGAGTAGTCACTAGTTTCAAATTGGCACAAAAACACTGTTCTTAAACTCTGATTTGAAATATTACTGAAATAATAGGTATTTCACAATACAGTTTCATGGATGTTCAGACTACAGAGCTGAAAGGTAGAGCCAAGTTATCAAGGGTTTGATGTTTGCAGGAAGAAAAGCCAGAGTAAGACCACCCCCTCCAAAGAAACTTCATGTGGGCAGACTCTGCATCCCCCTGGCCATCTAGCCCCACGGCCCGCGGCTGGAGAGCCCTCTGCAGGATGCTCAGGAAGGCTTTCCTGGCTTTTTACAAAGACTCAACACACCAATATTTGATGTTTCCAATGGAATAAAACTCAAATTCAAAGATTTTCTGTTTCCCTTCTATTCGCTATCATAATGCAAGGAAAGGTTTAAAAAAATAAATCTGCCTATCACAATTATTTTCAAATGAATAATTACATGTCCTGAAGGGATCAGAAATTGCCTTTTGATTTGGAGGCAGAAAGTGACACTTTCCAGTAGCAAAACAACAACAATAATAAAACACCACTTACAAATATCAAGAAAACATGTCCCAAAGGCTTAGGGCAGCAGTTGTCAGCCTTCATGATGCTGTGACCTTTTAATACAGTTCCTCATGTTGTGGTGACCCCCAACCGTGAAATTATTTTTGTTGCTACTTCATAGCCGCAATTTTTTTCTTTCCTTTCCTTTTTCTTTTTCTTTTTTTGGTTTTTTCGAGACAGGGTTTCTCTGTGTAGCTTTGTACCTTTCCTGGAACTCGCTTTGGAGACCAGGCTGGCCTTGAACTCACAGAAATCTACTTGCCTCTGCTTCTAGAATGCTGGGATTAAAGGTGTGTGCCACCACTGCCCGGCTCATAGCTGCAATTTTACTACTGTTGTGAATTGTAATGTAAATACCTGATATTCAGGATATCTGATATACGACCCCCTGTGACAAGGTTATCCAAAGGGGTCATGACCCACAGGTTGAGAACCATTGGCGTAGGGTCTGAACTCATCACACAATTGTCCGGACCTCAGCACTTTCCTGTGTGTGAGATGCTGATACTGTACAAGCAAACACTGATCATTCATCTCATAACTTCAGCTTCTGATCTAATTTATTACTTAGTGTTCAAGAACCTTTTTAAACCACATGCTGGAGGGAGGGAGGAGCGGTGTGGAACACCCAGGGTGTTAAAAATGTGTCAAATTAGCATCTCATTTATTCCGTAAAAATTCCATTCACTTCGACTTAGTTTAATGTATTCCTCTTTGGCTCGGTGTTATTTTAATTTCGAAGAGCTTTCTACTTGCCAGATATTGTGCTAACACTAGGAGTTCACACACAAAAAATATCAAGCTGCTTTCAGTTCTAAAGGAGATCACAGATGAACCACAAAAATGCGGGGTGCTTGGACTTGTGCAGACACACAGCCGCTTCTGACTGTGTTTTTGCACTCAGCTAACTTCCTCTCTGTGTCCCACCGGTTATAATTTTTAGTGGCTATTGAAGGGCGAGAAAAGACTGGCACCTGCATATCCAGGTTGACCAATAGACGATCCCTTGCACGGGTGTCCGACCTCAAGGCCAAGGGCTGTACTGTCTTACACCAGAAGATCTAAGAGGAGGTGTTCTTTGTTAGTGGAAGGATGAGCGTTAAGTAAAGGACAGCAACTTTCAGAACCCCGGTGACCCACAGGGAGGATCCAGGGAGGCCCCCACTCTCCTTCTGTGGTCCAGGCAGTGTGACTGTCAGTCAGAGAACTCTGGTCCTGTAGTGCATCAGTCTCTGGGGTACAGAGCAGGACCAAGCAGCACAGAGAACATAGAGTAGAAGGAACACATTGACGCAACAAATGTCCCACCTCACACTGCGCCTCTCCGGCGTCTGACAGACTCATCTTCCTCCCTAGGCTATGCTCGACTGCCCAGGGTTCTGTTTGCACCCCTGGGGTCAGAATGAGTTACTCACTGAGACCTCCCGTTCACAGGTTCAGGAACTGTGGCTCTATTACATGAAGACAGCTCCTAGCACTGTACTCAACTGCCTCGCGTGCCCTCTCATGGTCTCCCTTTTCTTCAGAGTGCAGTGTCCATTGTCTATCAAAAACCCCTCAACTCCACACAAGCATAATTTGAGACGGTGAGAATGGGGATCCTTCTAAGTACCCGCTAGTAGGGAGGCAAATGTGTTTTGCTTTATTAGTACAATAATTTATCTCTGTGGTTACATTTCAGAAACACGAAAAAGGCAACTTGCAAAGGGATGAAGACACCATAGCACCAGTGATTTGTACCCCACTTTTCCTCAAGGACCCCTTCTTATTCTGCACAGTACCATCCACAGTTCTCTGACGTTCAGGGAGAGTGCCCCTTCTCCCACTGAAGCTGGTGGAGCAGCCTGGATGCCCAACCCCTGCCCCTGCCCTGCTTCCTCTTCCACCTGGCTGCTGTAGAAGGGCCCTCATGGGACATAAAGGATGGGTGACAAGTATCAGGGTCCAGTGTTGGGGTCCAGCCCCGACCTATCAAATGGTTCCTTAAAGCGGGGAGTGAGGAACTGAGAAATGCTAGATAGGAAATATAGAAGTAGATGAAGAAAAAAGAAACACAGGATAGCTTCAGGAGGGTCCTGGGTTAATATCCAGCAGCCTCGAGTTTATTCATGATAGGCTTTTTATACACTAGCAAGGGGAGAGGCAAAAGACCTCGCCCTTTAAAGATTAAAGCACAATGTTCACCAAGTGTAGACCCTTAAAACACCTGGTCACCACGCCCCACGGCAAAGCATCTTGTGATCAGGCCTTGAAGTATAAGACACTGGTAACCACGCCTTTGCACCCTGTTGTGCAGCCGTGGAGAGGAACGTAAACTCTGACTCTGACCTTAAGTCAAAGCACAAGTTGGAATCTTTGTGGGCTCCCACTGACAAGGACTGAGAAGGACAGGAACACAAACAGCAGGTGACCAGGCTGGCCATTTTGCAGTCCCGTGGAACTCAAGCTCAGCCACAACTGTAGGACGATGCTGAAGGAGCCCTGCTGCACGTGAGTGAGGGCAGTGGAGGGCAAGGAAGCAATGGCCACGATGACAAGAGTCCCGCTCGCCTCCACTGGCTTCCACAGAGCTCAGGCTTTGGTCCTCGCTGGCACTCTCCAGGGCCATCACATCAACTCCTTCACCTCATTATGTATTAGTCTCCCCAGGGTGGGGGTTCCCCCTTATGGCTCCTTTTCCATTTATTTATTTATTGTTAGTTAGTTAGTTAGTTAGTTATTCATCCATTTATTTATTTATCTATGTTCTTCTGTAGCCTATAGTGATATCCTTACCAGCTGTCACCCTAAAGTTGAGGAAGAATACTAACTGACCCCAAATTGGACTTTTAAATCGACTGGGTTAAGACAACAACAGAAACCAAATGACCTTTAGTCTCTCCCACTAACCAAGCTCATTTATTGAAAAAACGTATTCAAGAGCGTAGGACCAGCTCCCTCAGTCCCTGCCAAACAACAGTGTGTGTGCGTTCTGGTATCTCAGGTGCATTTCTGGAGGAAACCATGGCTTCCTCTGCTCCGACACATCTGCCAGTAGATGCAACCAGAGCCAGGGCTGGCAGGCTCTTATCTAACTGGGCCTGATGCCTTGCATCTGTAAAGTGTGCAGTATTCCTTGAGGAGGAAACTCAGTGGCTAGTAAAAAAGATAACAGTATTTCT